TTCAAGGATTGGTTTTGAGAATATTATGCTTTAAATATGTACGATGAGATGAGAAAACAGGTTTGCCAAAGGAATTAAATTATTTATTAATGCCACGTGGATCAATGTTCAATGTCTGGGAAGGTTTTTTTTTTGCGATCTTACCTTATTTCGTGAACGTGTTCACCGGATCTGAATACGATACTCTATCGTAAACATTATCATCGAGGATTTTATAGTCGTCGAGAAACACGGTTATAGCGTTCGTCGACATTTATCGAAGGTGAATCGCATTCACGGTGGCGCCTTGTTTTCGCAACGCACAACGACACACAAAGAGGACAGACACCGGTATGTGTTGTCTTTATCTGTTTTTGCGTCCGACAGCGTTCGAATATTGGCGGCGTCGTTAATAATTCACTTCGACAAATCGATTATCATCAGCCAGACGGCGTCATTACGCAAATTGTCGCACTTGTACTATGTTTCTTATCATTTCCAAGTTTATTTCGTATTTAGAATAATTTTCTCCTCTTTGCATTACGTTTGCATTATCGGTTTGCTTGAGCACGATTTCCATATTTTTTTTTATTTCGTAGTATTTTCAAACGACAAAAGATGCAATCGTTCTTCGTCGAGACGAAGATAATTATCATATTTTTTATTTTATTTTATCATATACTTTATCTTTTTTATACTTTTTTTTATCAAGATTTTTTTTAAGTTTTTATATTCGTGATATTGAAAATATAATTTTTTTTATAATAGATGATCATCATTGACGTATGTTATCGAAAATTGGGGTATCGATTTTAGGAAGTAATGTAAATGTGTAATATGCTATTTCTATTAATAGTGGAAGATATGTGTCTAAAATTTCAACACTTTGGCACCGTACTATAATTCTTCGCGATGACATTAAAATTAATGGAGGAAGAGATATTATTTGGGAGGAAAGAAAAATGATAACCTTATTTAATCGATAAGAACAACTCTTTTTTTTTTTATTTTGCAAATAATCTTTTTTAGATTTCTCTGAAAAAATATTATAAATATTGTGACTGATAAATAAAGTTAAGTAATAGCTTTTTTATATAACAAAATTTTTGAAAGATATAAAATTAACGGGAATAGGTAAACTGAATTTTCTTGCACTGTATAACTGTACGATAAATTTAAAACAAAGGTCACATAGTTTCAGGGAAATCATTTTGACAAATGTAACTTTGAAAATACAGTTATTTTAGATATTATTCTAGGCCATTTCAACCTTACGCTACCTAAGTCTAGGTCATTTTAATACCAGTCTGCTACTTAAGTAGTACTCATATATCACGTTACATACATTGTAACTCTTAAGTCTTCATCATGTATGTAACTCGTGATTAAGCAATTTAATAATTTCATCTTTTTAAATTTAACCAAGATATAATCTTATTGTTACCAATTAATTTAACTTCAACTTCTGTTATTTACTTTTTTTTTTTTATATTTTACTTTTTAGTAAATTTACAGCTTGAAAATAATTGTCACGATAATAGGCAACTTTGACGTTGTATCATTTATCATTCAGAATTCCAAAGTCATTTCATCTTCTTTTCATTCACTATTTTTTTATTTAATAATAATTCTGCTTTTTAAAGATTAGTCATATTTATTATCTACTATCATCCATATAGTATAAATCTATTGTATCCAATTCTATAATATACAAATAATCATTCTCTTCTAATTTTCATTATCATATAATACAATTTTGTCTTATCATTTTTCCATTATTCATTATTTTTTCAGTTTCTTCATTCGTTTCGTCTAAGATCACACAAACATGAAAAAACGTTCAAACGTTTTCGACACTGCGATGCTGTATTGAAAATGAATTTTCGATAATAATTTTCATTTATTCTTGAGATTTGCTCATCTGTGAAAATTATTTTTGGATAGCTATTATCAAGGGATTATTCGCTTGCAAGGAATATCTTCGAGATCAATTTTCAAGAATTTCAATTTTCAAATTCAGAGCCCACACTCGTTTTTTTTGATATTTTGACTCCGATTTAAGAAGAAAGGGAGGGACTCGTAGAGGGTTTGTACATCACCAACAATCAACACGCGACACTCGAGTTTTCTGCACCTTTTATATTGCAACCTGCGCAAATATATAGCGGCCATTGCCGCCTTAAGCTTTAACCCACCATTCATGCCTCGTGCGACCGTGCAAGACGAGGCAATGGCAAACAAGGTCATCGTGTTTTGGCAAAGTGGAGGAGCGGTACACGGTGCAGAATTTCAAATCAAATGAGTCAGAAATTTAATTTTAATTGATACACCGCCTCGATTCGATATCGCGTACGAGGGAATCTTTGTCTTCGAATTTATGTGTATTTTATTTTACGTGATATGAATTTACGTGATATTAGGAAACGATAGAAAAACGAGTTACGTGTGAGTTCGGGAAAAAAATCGAACATTTTCGAATAAGTATAAATAAATGTTTAAAAACATTATTTTGAAGATCGTGTCCTTGACAATGGTGTATTTATATGTGTTTTTCCGGAATATTCTTTCGTTTCTTTTTAATTTTTTTGTATAATTGTAGATTTTATGTTTATAGATAGAAATAATGCGTAGATATCGTATTTATTTTATTAATTTGGTTATTGAAAATAAAAATAAATAAAAATGAGAAGTTAATTTGATCGAGAATAGAGCATTATAAGATTATTCAAATAAAAAAAAGTTACAAGAAATAAAAATAAAAAATTATTAAGATAAATTTTATAATTTATAAAAATATTTCATGAATTTATGATTTGTTTCAAGTATAGAATCGCAGCAGTTGAATCTTTATTATTGTTCATTTGGAAATTGAGAATTGAGACAATCGTGACGGAAGATTCGTGTAGGCGCCTCTGTCAGCCATATTGGTTGTTACTATTCGGGAATTTTTGGCGTTAAATATATTTCACTGTTTGTTACAAATGCACAGATCAAATTCCATTTACCTATGATATAAATCACAAATTTAGTTCTCTAATTTGGGATTGTAAATAGAACAAACAACAAACTTTAGTGTTTATTTGGCAAGTTACATGTAATTCAAACACCATTTTATTACGTTCAATAATATTTTCCTCTAATCCTAATTCTTTCTACAAATCAAGCAATATATTTATTTTCAATTTTAACAATTATAATTTATAATTTTCTTATATTACCAATCGACATTCCGTTAATTGCAATATCCCCACTCATATTCTCTTTCCTTCTTTTATTACCCATTATCTTTCTCACATTCGTTTCCTCGCATGTCAAGTAGATTCAGATTAACCCCTTCGCATCCGCGGACGAGATATCTCGCGACACGATGTTGTTTATGCGACACATTGGACAAGATATCTCGCGACACGATGTCATTCATGCACTACTTTAAACTCATTTACAATTCCATGTTATTTCTTGCAAGAAAGATAAAAAAATAACAAGATGTCCCTTACTTATTTCTTTATTTACAATCAACATTTCGTATACTTTGTTTGCGAACAAATTGAATAATCTATTACAAAATTAATCAAAATTACTGTAATAAATAATAAATTTCTAAAACGCGGCAAAGATATCGCGACTTGTCATATAATCCAATTTCTCGAGTAATATGTATTCAAACACGTTATTTTATATCGCTCACGATTCCCTATAACAGCGAATTCATACAACGCGTACCACCATACGCGAGGAATCCACCAATATCTTCAATCTATTAATACATTCACTCACCATTTTCCAATTAACCGTAATCAACGCAATCCATCCAACAAAAGTTCTCTCTCCGTATAAAAGAAACGAATATAATTAATACGGCTTGGTCGAGGATCGTTTGGAAGGAAAGGACTCGTTAACCCAGTATCGTATTGCACGCGGCCTTGCGATCGCCTAATCGTATTGCAGATTCGAACGCGTTCCTTGAGAATCCGTTCGGGCAGACGCGACTGCGCGTCGCGCCGATGGCATCTCGATCCGGTAGAGGCGCCATGTGTAATATACGCCACGGTTACCTTGACGGGCGTGCAATTTCGCCCGCAGTAGAGTAAGCACGGAGTAGAGTATCCATGATAACGCGTAAAAGGACGAAAAACGTGGTACCGGTTTCGCCCCAATCCAATAATAGAATCGTCCGCTTTTGGAGTTGCGAAGTCTTCTAACGGGCGCCAGGCCTCTCATTTCCCATTAATCCCGCGCTTTAATCGGAGCCTTGAGTCGGTTTCTAATTTTCCTCGCGACGGAGACGCGGCGAGGCCGTCGTCGCCTCGCGGGAATCCGTTTTGGATTAAAGCGGGAATCGGGACGCGGAGCGTGTAACGAGATTCCCACGAAAATAGATCGATCGAGGTCTGGCGCCTTTAATGAATGTGTTCGTTTGCTTTTAACGATCCTCGCCGTTTTTCAACCGCCGCTCATTGCGAAACGAACAATGATTCTTGGTGGATGTTAATATTATTTTATCTTCCTTCGTTGAGATATGTGGGAACATGTATGTATGGAAGAGCCAATTATTTTGTCAAACTTTTTTTTTTTTTTTATTTCTAATTTTCAAGGTTGTCGTGTAAATTGGGAAATAATTTTCTGAAAAATATTTTCTTTTTTTTTTTTCTTTTACGTTTAGTCGTGCCATTCTTGCGGTAAATACCACTCGATATGCTTCGTAATAATTGTCAGTTGCGTGACCGTCACGTATAATTTACTGCTTTTAACGTTTTACGATATGTGCATGTATTTTGTCCTCCTTAGGTAAAATTTCTTATCTGACGAGTATTTCATTAAGTTTTATGTCGATAATATATTTTTTTTATACTCGTATTGTCGTATCCAGATAACAAGAAATTTAAAAAGAGCAAATCTTTGTTAAATTTAAATAGTATAATAGTATTGATTAAACTTTTGTACGTTATTGTATATTATATTTATAAATCATATCGAAAAAAAATTCTATATTAATCTATTGCTTGTTTCTCTCATTTCAGAGTCGCCACCACCCCCGTACTGCCTTATTGCCGACAGACTGAGACCCGAGGGTGAGTGCATTCTTCTTTTCACATTTTAATCGTGGATACCCATACGTGTGTATACGATCACATTCCACAGTTGTCCGTACGTGAACACATGGAATGTAACCCCACGCAATCGTTCGAGCGATAACTCATGTTTATTACTCACAAACGTTTAGCATTCGAGTCGCGGAGATCGTCCTTTAACGCGTGTCACATCTCACGACCTAGCTCAAAGCAAAAATTCTACGTGGACTATCGCAGCGGACGTTGTCTCACGTTGTTTGAATTAAATTCCACGAATTAATTCAAACATCATTGTGCAAAACATTTTAGCATAATGTAATGGTCGTGAAAGTTTTTCTTTACCCGGTTCAGATAAATGGAAATCGATATATGGAAATTAGTTTTGAAAGAAGATTTATTTTCAATTTGAATTTTTTCGAAATCATTGAAGCTTGAAATATATGTGTTGAAATATTATTTGTCGAACGTAATGAGAATGAAGAATTGAAAATGCACGAAATACACACGAAGCCGCAATTTTTCCTTAATTTTTGCCTTCGTTCAAATTTCGAGGTGTAGATAATTTTCGACAGACGAAATAAATTAATAATTTTTCCTTACAGATTTAACTTGTAAGAGATTTAAACGTGGAACATAAAGTAGAGCTTTATAATTTTACCAGACAGATAAATATCGATCGACTTCCATCAAGTAGATCGATGTTTGCCGGTGTGTCTACGTCAACCACGGAAACGGCGATACTCTGAAACCTATAGCCATATGGTTCGTCGCAATCAATAAAAGATCGACTTACAACACGTCCGTTCGAGTTATAAGATGATCTTTTATGCAATATTTGACGATGCTCAATGAAAATCGAAACGCGGCTCGATTTCCTCTCTCTTAATATTTCAAAATTTTAAACAAAAAAAAAAAAAAATTCCTTAGATCCTATTTATAAATTATACATGCAAAAATCGAATTCAAAAATTTTACCTAGAATTTATTCGTTTATTTCGTAAGCGTTTATCCGAAGCATATTTCTATAATATCCGACCAGCAACCAAACCAGTCCTCGATCTCCTCTTCTCTTCTCTTCTCTTCTCGTCTCTTCTCGGTCCCTTATTTTGGAAAGAATTTTTTCCGAACCCCAAAATTATGCTCCTTGCTATTTTTACGACCAAACTTTTACAATGCTCGGTGGTTCTGCGGCTGGTTTTGACTAGTCGGCTCCCTGTTCCCTCCTTTTCTCTTTTCGTTTGCCCGATCCTAAACTGGTTCTCGGGATCGATACGAGCCACGGAGCCACACGCAGATCCCTCGGCCATCGATAGATTCGCGTGTTGCTCGAGAGAGGAGCGTTCGTTCGATCTCTCGTAGGCCGCGTTGGTTGCGTAATAAAGTTGGCTATAGCGAAATCGTCTTCGGAAGATCGATGTCTCGGTGTCGTCGCGACTTTCAATTAAGTTGAGCATCGGATTAGAAATTATTTCCGACGATGACTCGGGATGGTTGAATTAATTGGTACCGACGATATTGAATGATTTATATTTATGAATGTAGGTGATTTGTTTCGTTCTTCTTTTGTTGCTTACGGAAGGAAAAATAATATTGCACGGTAATTTTAAAAAAGAAAAGAAAATCGATTGTACGTTCGAATCGAGTGAAAATTAGTAGTAGCGTGTAAAATTTAGAAATTTAAATCTCGATGTTAAATTTTAGATATCTTAATTATACGATTTATAAAAAAAAAAACATTTAAGAAGTTAGAAAATTAAATGTTAATTAGTAATGGCGTGTAAAATTTATAAATTTAAATCTCGATGTTAAATTTTAGATATCTTAATTACACGATATAAAAAAAAAGAACATTTAAGAAGTTAGAAAATTGAATGTTAAGATTGTCATTTCAATTCTCTGAAAAGAATATTGCACAATTTAATTACAGACAATTAATTTCACACCTATTAAAAGTTCCTTTCGTAAAATCAATTACCAAGCACGATTATTTGAAATTACAATTTTCCATTGAAATTGATTTTCCGCAAGACTTTGTTCCAACAAGTTACAATTACCTATGACAAAACAGCTTTTGTTTCTTCGTAGAATCTTTCGTTTTCAAGAATTCAAGCGGTGTTACACCATTGCTTTGAAAAATTCTAATCATCGTTTGCTCGTCTATATTAAAATTCTTTCAAAATTTATTCCATATAAGCGAGTTTTATACAGTTAAATGCAACACGTTGCACGCAATTAATAGACGCGCGCACATTGTGAGACGGTTGAAATCGAGCGATAACTTGTATACAAAATGGCAACGTTTGTGCCAAGCCCGATATGACGAAATAATAGCGCCTTTGGCTACAAGAACTGTACATCCGCTGACGTTTAATATACGAGTATATAGACATACGCGCTTTCGGCACACGCTTATAAATCGTCAATAGAAATAACATCGGTTCGCGAGTTATGCCACTTGAGGTGAATATCTCTTGTCGACATTGTGGCCGCACCAAAGCCTGTATTTATATAAACCGATCCTGTCAGGGGTCCAATGTTCTTGAAGGTATAATTAAGCTTGAAAGCTGCGTATAGGCACGTTCACAACACCATCTTTCTTCTTCCTATAAGTTTAATCGTTTAGACGTGATACGAAATTATATTGTTGAAGATCCAATAAACGTGAGTCGGTTGATCGTTTATAAAGGGATGAAAGCTTCGAAAAATTTCAAAATAGTGGTAGAATATAATAAATGGAAGGAAGGAATAAAGGTTCAAATAATAATATTTTCAACGAAAAAAATTGTTTTCTTAATGAAAATTAAAGTTTTGGTAAACATAATTTTCTTTACATTAAACTTTCAATTAATAAATATTTAAAATTCTCTAATGAAACGAGATAACAGAAACATTTACAAACAATTGCAACAATAAATATAATTAGAGGAGAAACAAGAAGAAGAGAAACTAATGAAAACCTCAATATTCGATTGAATTATATATTCCATGATCCACAAAATAATTATCAGAAACGGAATATCGGTCAAAAAGCTTCCGAAAAAAAAGGAAAAAAAGGCAAGCAATTAAGAGACGGGATGATAAATCGAGGAAAACAAATTAAATCGTGTGTAATAATCGCGTGGACATAGTAAGCACGATGAGGTCATAATTCAATTAAAGAATCGTCTAAAGATCACGTGAATCATTAGAACGAATTCCCGTTTTGCATATCGTTTGACGTTTATTAATTTTTACAACAATAAATAATCGAATCCTTTTCGATCGAGTTAACACGCCGACAGCTTTGTTGAATCGTTTCTCGAGGAAAAAAACACGAGGTCTCTCGCGATAGGAATATTAGCACGATAAAAATCAGACCGCTGGCTGGTTATTCGTCATCGTCGCGTAAATGCGGGTGATGGAAGGGAGGAGGGGGAGAGAAGGAAAGAGAAGGGAAGAAAAGGAGAGAAAACGAAGGAGAGGGGGATCTTTTTTCGATCGCGATTCCTCCTCCGAAGAAAGAAACTCGTTATGAGTTTGTCTGTCACACCGAGGCGGTAGATGTAGCCACGTGTGATAGATTTATGCTATGAACGAAGGAAACTGGGCCAGCACGATGGAGCAGAGGAGATAAAAGATCGCGCGCATCGCCACTTGTTGCATTCAGCCGAGAAATAGGAGAAATTTCTTCATTCATGAAACTCGAACCAACATTCCGCAATATAAGCCGGACTATGAACCGGTGGCAATTAAATCGGTGGAACGGTGGAACGGCTGGGATGTGACGAGAGAATGGAATTTATAGGGAAGGAATATTTAATGCTCTTTAGATTGGAAAACGATTGGAAAAAATTCGTTAAATGCGTCGTGTGATGCGAACTGCGATCTTAGATATCGCGTTCGTGTTCGAAATTTTTTTTTAACTAGATTGAATAGAGAGATTTAGGGATTTAGGGATTTTATAAGAATTTTATAAGAAAATCTTCTATAAGACGAATGTGACGGGCGGATAAAAAAAAAAAAAAAAAACACTTGATTCCAAGAGAATGGTAGCCATAATTTACTAACGAAAGTGTTAAAGGAATATCAGTTTTTTCATCGAATCAATTATTGAAAGTAGATTCAAGTCGACGATATTCAAGACTTATCGCGTTCGACTTTATCAAAATCAAAAAATTGAAAGAAATATTTACGGGCGGATCTCTCTCGACCGTCTCATTAATTTTTTCCCGCGAGATAATTATGGAAAAGATGCGCTGATCGATAATTTTTAAAAGTCATTCTCGATTAATTTTTCGTAAAAAAAAAAGAGTAATATAATAATGATAATAAAAATAAAAATAAAGAGAGAAGAAAGAGGGAAACGAGAAGCATGTGTAAGAAGAATTTCTGCGGAGATACGATTTATTTCCGCACGTGCTCTTTGCACGCGCTGTCAGCGACAGAGTTCCAGCAACGGTTGCGCAAATTTCAACGAATACGACGAAGGACATGGCACAACGCAGTCCGTGCAGTCCCTTTCAAACGCACGAGGACAAATCTTGTTCGTATTGCGTTACGCCGCGCTGCGTTTTTAAGCTTCCCGCTCTCGATTCAGAGCCCGTCCTGAATCACCGTATTGTTCCACGGCCGAGACGACGGCTAATGCTGATGACATTCTATCGTTCCTTCAATTAAAATGGCAAACGGCCGAAATTACCAGCCTGTTGGAATATAAGTGTAAGTTTATTCTAATTTTGCCGAGAATATTTTCACGTTTAAAATAAAAAAAAAAAAAAAATTACATATCTATATCGTCATTTTGACAGGTTTTGATAGATCTATCTTATTTTTAAAGTTAAATTTTTTTTATTTTCAAACTGTGGCGAAATGCGCGCATACAGATAATCTTGGATAATTTGACTGCGTCGTTTGATATTCCGCGCGTCTTTATTATTATATATCGTTATCAGAACTTTCCACGAAACTAGATTTCAGATTTCAAGCTCTTTTGTGTACACTTGCGTTATATTACCAGTGCT